CTGTCAGCACCGACCACTTTCGCAACCTCACCGATTCCTCCGACGAGACGAATGCCGTATAACCAACATGCCCCACAACGTAGCCCCACAACGTGGCCCAATAGTGAGTCTTCACTTACCTACCAGCGTCGGAAAACCGATTTGTGGCGTACCGCTGACCGTCGACCGATATGCTTTCATTGTGGCGAAGCTGGGCACGTCTACAGAGTTTGCCGTTATCGCGACGCTCAGTACTCGAGATTTCCTCGCTACCCTGATTACATTGCGTACGACGATCAACGCATGTACAACTACGCCCATGTGAACACACCGCCGCAGAATTCAGTAATGCCCAGATCACGTTCTCCATCTCCTGCGCGGCACAGTTCACCTAATCGTCGCAGTTTTGCCGACGTCACCAGGGGCAGGTCCCCTAGCCCGCGACGGGGAAACTAGACGCAGCGACCTCGGGGGGGTGGGGTTGCAATATTCGAAATTCCGAACAGCCCCCATTGCAGACAAGTGACAGCTCGATGCCATCGATACCGAAGAAGACGACAGCAACGACTAATTCGACGAATGAGACAACTGCCGACGTAACCGACGTTATCAGCGCTGACCTCGTCGTTCACATTGACGGCCACCAAGTGACGGCACTTGTGGACACTGGCTCCCACTTTTCTATAATAAGCTTATAGCTAGCCGAAAGACTAAGGAAGGTGAAAATGCTATGGCAGGGACCCAATATAAGAACTGCAGGAGGCCACTTGATGATACCGGTTGGAAAGTGCACGGCCCGACTCTTCATTGCTGGTTCCACCTTTGTCGCCACCCTCGTCATTCTCCACGAGTGCTGTAAACAGCTCATATTGGGAATGGATTTCTTGCGCGAATACGGGGCTGTGATTGACATCCGTGACAGAAGCGTAACGTTCACTGTAAGCTCAGAGACTGCTACAGATGAGGAACACCAGCCACCTCACTTCCGTATTGCCGATGACGACGTCATACTGCCGCCACGAAGTTGTTCTCTCGTATCCGTGCACTGTGACAAATTACAAAATGGTACTGGCATCGCTGAACACATCAAGGAGCTCGCATTCACTAGCCGCATTTCTGTTGCCAGGGCTGTCATCACTGTTATTGACGGATGCGCTGAGCTGCTATTGACAAATTTCAGCAGAGAACGCCAACACATAGTTAAAGGCACGGCTATTGCCTATTTTGACGAACTCTCGCAAACAGAAGATTGTCATTTAGTGGAGGAAGCAGCAGCGTCTACTATCACTACACCGACACCTGTAGACGTTGGTCCAATGTTATCTCCCATTGAGCAAGACCGCCTTCTCACGCTGATCAACAAGTTCCACGGCTGCTTCTCATCCACATCAAGAGTTGGTCAAACGGCACTGACGAAACACCGCATCATCACGGATTCCGATGCCTGCGGCAAAATCCTTATCGAGTCGCCCCAAAGAAGCGTGAGGTAATTCAAAAACAGGTGAAAACGATGCTAGAAGATGGTGTTATTCGGCCGTCTAACAGTCCTTGGGCATCACCTGTAGTACTCGTCAAAAAGAAGGATGGTAGCTTGCGTTTCTGCGTCGACTACCGTAAGCTTAATCAGATCACAAAGAAGGACGTCTACCCTCTGCTGTGTATTGATGATTCATTGGATAGACTACGAAACGCACGCTACTTTTCGTCTATGGACTTAAAAAGAGGCCACTGGCAAATTGAAGTGGATGAGAGAGATCGTGAGAAGACCGCCTTTGTTACGCCCGACGGACTTTATGAATTTCAGGTTCTTCCTTTCGGTTTGTGTTCGGCGCCAGCAACATTCCAGCGTCTCATGGACACGGTTCTGTCGGGACTTAAGTGGCAAACCTGCTTGGTGTACCTCGATGACGTGATTGTCTTTTCAACGACTTTCGAGGAACACTTACGAAGGCTCGAAGCAGTTTTTGAAGCAATACGCTTGGCTGGTCTTACTCTAAAACCGGAAAAGTGCCACTCCGGCTTCCGCGAACTTCGATTCCTCGGTCACGTCGTGAGCAGCCAAGGGATCCGACCCGACCCGGATAAAATTGCCGCCGTGGCAAACTTCCCGACGCCATCAGACAAAAAATCAGTGCGACGTTTTTTAGGACTCTGTGCCTATTACCGGCGGATTATTGCTAATTTTTCGCGCATCGAATGGCCATTGACACAGCTTACTCGGGAAGATACCCCCTTCAGATGGGGCGAAGACCAACAGCAGGCATTTCACGAGCTTCGTCAGCGAATGCAAACACCCCCCCGTGCTGGCCCACTTCGATGAAGACGCGCCGACAATACTTCATACAGACGCTAGTAATGTGGGTCTTGGAGCAGTGCTCGTACAGTCGAAGGACAACAATGAAAACGTGATCGCCTATGCCAGCAGGACTCTGTCCCGAGCTGAAGCTAATTACACTACGACGGAAAAAGAATGTCTTGCAATGGTATGGGCAGTCCTGAAGTTTCGTCCTTATTTGTACGGCCGCCCAGTCACCGTTATCAGCGATCACCACTCTCTCTGTTGGTTAGTCAACTTGAAAGATCCGTCTGGCCGCCTTGCACGATGGAGTCTTCGGCTCCAAGAATTTGACTTCCCTGTTGCCTACAAGTCGGGAAAACGACACACCGATGCCGACTGTCTTTCTCGGTCTCCTGTTGAGACGGCATCCCCGGACAACGACGATGACGACACGGCCTTTCTCGGAATTGTGGACACTGCCACCTTTTCTCAACAGCAGCGTGGCGATGCTGAGCTGCTACCACTTATAGATTACCTACAAGGACGAGCGAATAGCGTTCCGAAGTTATTTGCGAGAGGGCTGCCGTTGTACTGCTTGCGAAATGACGTTCTTTATAAGAGGAACTTTTCACCCACCGGCAGCAGCTACTTGCTCGTCGTTCCTTCTTCGCTTCGCCGTGAGGTACTGCAAGCCAGTCACGACGAACCTACCGCTGGTCACTTGGGTTACGCAAGAACATTGGCGAGGATAAGGCAGAACTATTACTGGCCAAGACTTGACGAAGTTGTCAAAACTTACGTGCAGGCATGTCTAGATTGCCAGCGCTGCAAGCCACCATCCATCAAACCAGCTGGCTTGCTGCAGCCTGTTCGAGTGCCGGCGACACCGTTTGCACAAATTGGCATGGATTTTCTGGGCCCCTTTCCAAAGTCTGCCACTGGAAACAGGTGGATAATCGTCGCCACGGATTACCTGACCCGATACGCGGAGACAGGCGCTCTGCCACGGGCAACGGCAGCTGAAGCGGCGCAATTTTTTATCGAAGCCATCGTCTCAAGACACGGTGCCCCTCCGGTGCCCCTCTGTCATCACCGACAGAGGTACTGCGTTCATGGCCGATCTTTTGGACACCATTTTCCGACTAAGTGGTACAGCTCACAGGAAGACAACGGCGTATCGTCCCGAGACCAACGGGCTCACCGAACGCCTCAACAAGACCCTGGCTGACATGATAAGCATGTACGTAGATGTAGAGCACAAGAACTGGGACATAATTTTACCCTACGTCACGTTCGCGTACAACACAGCTCGTCAAGAGACCACTCGGAAGACACCCTTTAGTCTCCTTTACGGACGCGAGGTTATAACAACGTTAGACGCAATGCTCCCTCATGAAAATGATGGCAATGAGACAGACGCCGAAGAGTTTACCTAGCTAGCAAAAGAAGCCAGACAACTTGCCAGGTTGTGAATCGCCAAACAGCAAGACGACGATGCCAAGTATTACAACCTCCGGCACAGACCCGTCATATACAACGTGGACGACAAAGTATGGGTCTGGACCTGTTCGTCAGCGTGGGCTTTCCGAAAAGCTGTTGCGAAGATACTTCGGACCCTACAAGGTTCTGCGACGCATTAGTGGCGTCAACTACGAGGTTGTTCCGGACGGCGTGTAGTGTTCAAAGCGGCGCAGACATTCACCAGAAATTGTCCACGTGCTTCGGATGAAGCCTTACTTTCAGTGACTAACTGTGCAGTTTTGGTTTCGCCTTGCTTCTCAAACGTTTAACATCGGGACGATGTTTTTTTAAAGGGGGAATAATGGCGCGCGTATGTGCCAGTTGTGAGGACAACGAAGGAGCGCGAGTGTCTTTGGCCGAGGGCAAAAGACGAAGAAGTCGTTCCAGTCTGTTTCCTGCATTCGATAAATCGTATTTGAGGCGCTTTGTGTGCTCGTCAATCTCGTGTCGTCACAATATTTATTTATCTGACATGCCTTCAGTCGCCAAGGAGTTGCTGTAGAGAGTGGGTTACCAAGTTTATAAAAATGGTCAAAAACTGGAATGAAACAAAAATGAGGAGATATAAATGCGTACATATAAGTGTTATGTCCTGTATTATTAGCTGCAGACTACAAATACAGAAGCCTATTGAAATATAAAAAGTAAAAGTAACACTAGGCCTTGTATTGTGTGTAAAAAAAAAAAAGGCAGAGAAGCAAGACATCAGAGCGTAATCATCACAGTTAAAGTGTGTAAATAAGGAATGTCAACAAAAAGCAGTGATTGGAAGTTGAAATCATGACTGCTGGTGGGTGGGGTCAATTGTTTATTATTTGCAGAATGGAATAACGAAAAAGAAAGTGTTTGTTTGGCTTCAAATTTCTGTAGGCTTTGTTTGAGCTTAGTCCAGGATCAACAATATGTAGCTTGAACTATAGGCTCGCTATGCGAGGCTGAACGATTGAAGCCCCTGTGAAGATGGCAGGAAAAACTGATGCTACTGTGAAAATTAGGGAGCAGCTTTTGCTACTGAAATATAGAAAGCGGGACAACATAAAATTTTTAATTTGAGTGGATAACTTGGCACAAGTATGAACTTTTTAGATTGGGAATGGAGCAGCACATCATGAAATGAAAAGTATTCAGTATGTTGCACTTATTATTGGGTGCAGCTACCCACGCACCTATACACCTGTATTTTGGTTAACCCAATTAATGATTTCTTGTTCAAAATTTGCAGCAGCCCGGGTGGAACCATACCAGCCAACACCCCTTCGTGAGCTGGGCTCGAAGCGGCGGAGACCGGCCAGTCGACTAGGCTCGGCAAGGACTGAGGACTTGGACGACGAGAACTCCATGCCACCAGCCAGTGAGTTGTGCTGACCGCACCTTCTGAATTTATTCCCTGCTAACTAGAGAGAAAGGAACATGAACTGGTTGACAGCCCAATCACTAATGGCAAAGTTAGCAGCTTGCTTTTAGTGGCCTACAGAAGTTGTTGATATTTTGTGCCTGATATCTCGCATTAAGTTTTTTATAGCACGTTTGAACCCACTGATAATGAATTTGGTTTTAACACTATATTGGTTATGGCAACGAGAAGCTGCTAAGGTGTCAACTTTATTGTTTTCTAAGCCGCTTACTACAATGCCCACATGCCGCATTGTCAGTTATAACAATGAATTTTGGCTGCTAGGTGCCTGTGGGCAAAAGGAAATAGAATGTGAAATGCTTAGAAAAAAAGGAGAGCATGAAACCCGTTGCCCGCAACCCGTACGTCTACCGCATGCCCATAAAATAAATCATCAGTTTGACTACTGTTGCGACGCTGTGTGCCTGTCATTCCTTATATGGTGTCAGAAGTTTTAACTCCCAAGTCTTGTAAACAACGCCATGCTTTATTGCATCAAAGCTGACTTTTGAACTCTGCTACAATGTGTTATTGGCAGTGGCTTGTAATAATGCAGTTTTAGACTGGCAGTTTCAGTAAACGGTTGAGGTTTCAAAGAGTTACAGCATCTGAAATTTCACTTTCTCATGCAATGACTTTACGGCAATTTCGGCAAAGGTGTGAAAGCGTCCAAATTCTTAACTTTTAAATTCCTGAATTATGAAAGTGCTGAGCAAAGTAAAACTTGTCATTTTTCAGCTTTAAATAGCAATCTTTAGGGGGGACGCAGGTCTTAAAAGGCCGAAAATTGCAAAAAAAAAACAAACTACTTTTTAAAGCTGACATTTAAAGAATCTGTACCTTTTTTTGTACTTATCTGAGAAGTTTCTAGGTTCTCACGTCATTTTTTCTGGTACAAAATCAATTATAACACCCCTGTGAGATGAATGTGAGCGTGAATAGACGCTAAAATTGCGCTTTTTCTGCGCCGAACAGTTGCCAGTACACTTGAGCTATCGTGGTCTTCCTGGTCCCGTTTGCAAGAGTCGTTCTTGATCTTCAATTTCCCGCCATCGCTAGTTCGCCTTGCTCATTGGTTTTTCAGCAAAAACGCGCCATCGAGACGCACCAGCGCGCGATTTTATTGGCTGCTTGGGGCACGTGACAAAGCCTAGGCGTCCGACTGGCCAAGTGGCGTTTCCGGCGTCTGCTTTACCATCGTGACGCGCACGGACGTGCGTTACTTTGTCATGGTGCTGTCGACTGCCTGCTGCAGTAAAGAAGTTCCGCGCCACACTAATTCGTGAAGTGGTTGTGGCAATCGTTTGTCACTGTGAACTTCAGAAAGAGCCCTGCTATGGCTCAGGACAACGAGGATAACGAACTAGCGGTGATCAACAGCGGTCGCCGAGTCACCGGTGTAGGCCTAGCTCACTTACGAGCCCGTTGGTTGCCGACAACTTCACTGAAAGCGGCCGTGTTTTGTAGCCTCATCAGTTAGAGGACGGCAGGTGAAAAGCAGAAGTGAAGCTAGGAGAGATATCAATCTTTGCAGCGATGGAACGGAAGCGCAGTCTTATCGCTAAACGAGCCGATTTTGTGGTCCCCCGCGCCTGACCTAATAATAATAATAATAATGTTTATTTTTCATGAATAGTTTGATGAAGGACAGCTGCAGGTAAAAGCTGCTCTCTAAGAGAGGCAGCTTGACAAAGGCCCACAGCCACCTTTTAGCACGACAGCAGTGGCAAACAATCAGCTATGTGAAGTCAATAATAATAACAACACCACCAAACAGATAAATAAATAAAAAATAAAGATATAAGTATCAAGTCCGAATTCCAAAAATAAAAAATAGCAACCATGATAATACAGCAACTACAAAGAAATTTTAAAAACTAAACTTGTGTATATCGCGCAATTGAATGTGTGTACAGTGTAAAAAAATCTATGCCAGCTTTCACATATTTATTAAGTAACGTCGGAACAATGTAGGATAACTTATCTGTGGAGTAGTTTGTTCTCGAAGTTTTTATTTTCCATGTTTCTTTATTTCGTGTTTCAAAAAATGTAATATTTGGCTGCAATATTGAGAGGTCATACAAAAAATGTCTACTTTCTTTCAATTCACGCCTGATTGCCAATGCTAACTTAAATTTGTAGAGACAATGTACGGGTAGTATTCCAGCCCGTTGAAACAATTTGCTTGTGTGAGCATCATACGGCAAGTTAAAAATGATTCTAATATACTTCTTTTGCATCAGGTACAGTTTTTGCAAGTTCGTGTTAGTTGTAGTTCCCCATACCAAGAAACAATAGGTAAGATGTGAATAGAAAAGTGATTTTATAAAGTAAGAGTTTTACCTTGTATGGTAGAACAGTTTTGCCACTGTACACCATACCCACTACGCGAGATAACTGACCCAGCACATTGTCAATGTGTTCGCTCCAAAGCATATTGCTCGAAAATGTAACTCCAAGAATTTTTATACTATTTACTAGCTCAATATAAGTATCGCCATACTTGAGACGTGTGGCGATACTTATATTATATATACTTATATATATAACGACCTCGCTTCTGCATGAACTGCGTCATGGGTCATCAGAGTGGAGTACGCCGTGCGTCAACGCCTACTTAAAAATGCGGCAGTCTTAGGTTAAAGAAAAAAAAAAAAAACTTACACGATTGGCACTCATGTAGCCTCGAAATATGAGCAATTGCACAAGTTCGGTTCTCTGCATTTACGTGTAACTCATTCTGGACAAGCCGGAAAACATCGCCGTGGCATTCGGTGGATCGCGGATGACGCGTGCACATTCGGCGCACATTGGCGTCAGTACCGTCACCGAACAAATAAGCGGCCTTGTCGGCAGATGAGGGCACGGAGACAACTTGCTACAGGACTTGAAGAAACAACGCGCTCATGCAAACAATGAATCCAATTACATGCTCGGTGCATATTAACTGACTAAAAGTATGTGTGCGATGATCTTTTTCACTCGAAACGGTGAAATAAAGTTTTAACAGTATTTTTCTCGAAACACGAATTTTGACCACTTTCTTTGTTTGCTTGCTCTGTAAAAATGGACATAAGACAGCTAGGGCTGTAAATATTTTAGCACAATGTAGCTAAATGTGCTCACAAAAACAACGCTGAGAGCCAATTTTTTGTTCTTGGTTACATGCAATGAACTTTATTGTGGTGTAATTCGAGAAGCACTTGTTTAATTTTCAATCAGCTTTCAACGTTGCACTCCATTGGCTTTCAAGTATCTATATATATGTTAATGACTATGTAGTTCTAAGTACATACATTTCTACAGGTAAAAGTGTTAGAATTCTCTGTTTTCTTGATTTTCTCAAAATGGCAAAGCCGTTGCATGGGATTCGCGTTCTCCACCATCAGCTCCAGAACATTTGGTTCTATTCTAATACCTTAAACGAAACAGGTTTAAACTTTTCATGCTGAAAATTATATGCCGTACGAGGGCTTATTGGTGGCACGCATTTCGTGACCTACATGCTCAAAGTTTTTCAGTATCATGGTGTCTACCTACCTGGAACACCTGGAAAAGTCAGGAAATTTATGAAAAACCTGGCCAGGTCATGGAAACTCACAGCAGTTCTGTGCGGCCGTCACAAAAATAAGCATTACTATTGATCAAAGCTTACAAAGTTGCTCTTCCAACTGAAGCTACAGTGAGCTGCTAGAAGATGTGTGAAAAAAAAAAAAAAAGGCAGTGTATAACTGTTGTTTCTTAGTGTAAATGCGAAAGGATACACTGACTCATGGAACACAAAGTTTACTGATGTTTCAGCACCCGATATGAGAGAGAGCCTTGTTTACAATAAAAGCCATAAGAAAGGCACAGCGTACCTAAGTGCGCCTAAATACAGGATGTGAGCAGCGAGAGTACATTGTCAGAAGTTTCCCATCACCCCTGTTCAGTGTATGTACAGTCGTCTGTATCTGGATTCCAGGTGCAGGCATTATGCAAGCTTATTTATGCGGAGCATTTTGTAGTCACACCTCCTCACAAATATGGCGTTGGCGGTGGTGTGTGCACCCTACTGCGCATACTTGGGTCTTGCGCTTCGTGCCGCACCTCATGCCAACTGTTGAGGTATACCAACTGTTGAGGTGAGGTATACTCGCACCTCATGCCAACTGTTGCTCCCCCCTCTCTCGCCTTGCTAGCCTGACGCAGGCAGCGTCTGCTAGTAAAATCCTACTGCTCGTGCTGCACAACCGTTCACTGACAACCCCGTATATGTAGGCATTGGATTGTCCTCAGCTTCTTACTTATTAGAGAGTTTTAGTACTGCGGATTGGTGCTACGTACGCATCACGCAAGTGCCTCGCGTTACGTGGCGTCGTTTGCCACTAATCGGCATTTAGTACGCCGTAGTACCTGCGTACGTAACAAGCGTGAAGCGTGATGCGCCATCTGGTAGATCAAAATAGAAGCACGTGTTGTTGACAGCCAATGTGAGCCAATCCAAGTGTTATAGCCAGATTATGGCCATATCTGAAGCCACAGAGCTGGTCGATGCGTGCCACGGAGGAAGTGGTGCTTGCCTTCGATGCCGCCATTTTGCAATACGAAGCCTCGCGCTGTCGCGAACTTGTTCGAGAGCGGCGCGATTACCTCATACGTACGCACGCACGCATCTCATGCGTGCGTACGTAGCGGCTGCGTACGTAATGCGATACGTGCGCGTTGTGGTCTGCGCATGCGCACTACGCAGAACGTGGCGTCCTTACGTACGCAACGCCGCCACGTATGCAGCGTACGCAGTACTAAAACTCTCTATTGCTGGTAGCTCGTCTTTCAAGGGTAACTAACACTTGTGTAACCTCAGATAAATGTCTCATTTCAGTTTCGTGAGATTGTGTAAATATATCTGCAATAATTTTTTAGCGTGACGTCCACAGAAGATTATGTAGATCAAGGTAACGTGCCGACATCCGTGA